TTTTGGGGGCTCCTTATTGTAATTACAGTAGAATGTACCCCAAACCCTATTCCAAATATTAAGGCCCCTATATTAATACGGACCTCAGAAGGTACCTAGACCCTAAAGCAAAACTCCTCATGAGTTTTTCCTGTCATTGCAGTACAGAGCCCCGCAGAACCCTCGCCTAAGTCATTCGGGCTTTTGTGTTTGTGAGCTTGCTCCATTCGCAATGTCTCTCAAACGCCTGCCTGCAGGAGACGCTCTCAGCACGACTGCAGGAGGCACAGTGCAATAGTTTCAATGGCGACAAGCATGATTCGTCAGCAGTATCTTATCTATATGTACATATATATTTATATATATATATATACATATATATATATACATATATATATATATATATTCTTTTTTTGGCGCAGTTGAGTCTTGAAGTAGCTTTGCCTGTGCTATCCCGCTGCCAAGAACCCCAAAGACAAGGCACTACCTAAGCTTCTAAACCCCAAACCTTTAACCCTAAACCCTAAACCCTGAACCCTAAACCCTAAACCTGAAACCCTAAAGCCTAAAGCCTAAAGCCTAAACCCTAAACCCTAAACCCTAAACCCTAAACCCTAAACCCTAAACCCTAAACCCTAATACACCCTAAACCCCACCATGACTCCAAGCAGGGCCTTTACTCCAAGGGTCAGGGGACTTGGTAGTTGTGGGGGTTGTATTGCAGAGGCCTCAATAGTTAGAATAAGGTTTTTTGGGGGTTCCTTTAAAGGGCTCCTTAAAGGGTTCTATAAGGGCTACTATAAGGGTTTAGGGTTTCGGGGCCGCAAAAGAATTTGAATAGGGTTTTGGGCGTATAGTATACTACACTTTTGGTAAGGAACCTCCAAAACCCTATCCTAATTTTTCAAGGCCCCGACATTACACCTCTTTATTGGCATCTTTCGGGCTTGAACGGGTTTCCATATGTTTTGTTGCAAAAATTGGTCTGAGGATCGAAGGGCCGTAGTATGTAAAGGGGTTTAGGGTTTAGGGTTGAGGGTTAGTATGTAAAGGGGGGGTTTAGGGTTTAGGGTTTAGGGTTTAGGGTTGAGGGTTTAGGGTTAGTATGTAAAGGGGTTCTGAAGTTGGGGTGATAAGTGGGCAGCCCCGTTTAGGATAATTTTTAGTTGCGACTATGCCCCTGATCCTGCAAGATTCGCACAACTCATGTCCGGGGAACCCGATATAAGCTCTTGATCTTAATGTTACAGGGCTCTTGACTGGTTTTCCTGTTTTGGGTTCTAGGGTTTCTACGGTTTAGGCGCAGGCCGTGAGGTAGCTGATCCGATCCGAGATTTTCGGGAGTTTGGGCTTTGTCAAGCGTGTGAAGAGCGGTTAGAGGTATGAGCCTCCTTCTTGGCACTACCCTGCTCATGACCCGACTTAAAAGCTGCGAAGTAATACCGCTGATCCTAAGGCCTGGAACCGTACACCCTAAACCCTAAACCCTTAACCTAAAACCCTAAAGCCTCTAAAACCCCCGTAAGATCTGAACCCTAAACCCTAAACCCTGTTTCCCGACGTTGACTACCATGGGCACAGGTCGACTAGGTCATCAACGGATTACCGAAATGAGTCCCCCATGTCTCATTGCATCCCTAAACCCCTAAAGCCTCAAGCCTTTACCCCTAAAGGGGTTTAGGGTTTCGGGTTTTAGAGTTTAGGTTTTAGGGTTTAGGGTTTAGGGTTTTAGAGTTTAGGTTTTAGGGTTTGGGTTTAGGGTTCCCTGGAGCGTGAAATCCGATCTTTGGAAACCTCCGGCTCGAAGCATTGAAGGCGCAGGGCCAGGAATACGGCTCTTGCGGTTGCGTTCCGTCAGTTTCAGACCGCTAGGGCTTCAGTTAAGGGCTCTAACCAGGACCCCTCAATGGCCCTTTAATGGAGCCCTTATGGTCCCTAATAGTAGGTATTTGGGGTATAATAGAGGGTAGTTGGGGGGTCTAGGAAGAAAGGGCTCGGCATAGTTAGTCATGTTTTTACTTGACCAGATATTAGGCTCGAACAGTTTTTGGGGGCTCACGCTTTGAGGAAGACAGCGGCACCCAACAAAGGCTTCAACCCCAACCCCAAACCGACAAAGGTTTTGGGGTTTTAGGTCTTTGGGGCTGGGGGTTTTGGGGGTTTAGGAACCTTGAAGCCTTAAAAATTTAGGGCTTAGGGATTAGGGTTTAGGGTTTAGGGTTTAGGGTTTAAACCTCGTAGTCCTAAGCCTGAAACTCTCCTTCTCAAGCGCGCTGTCGGCTACCCTTGCAGCCATGGAAGCCGGCACCCTGCGCAGTGTCAAGGACGCCGTTGCTTTCGGGCTTTAGGGCGGAGTGGGGCATGAGCCAGAAACTCCAAAATCCCTTCATGAAAAAATATACCTTGAATCATAATAAGGATCCCCTATAGTGTCAGGTATATTCAAGCAGGGGGATGCCAGGACTCTTAGCGCTTATCAGAGATAGAAGCAGGTCAGCATTTGAAGCTTGGGGGTTCATGCTTTAGATGGAGCTCCCATGCCGGATACTTCAGACTAAGGTTCAGGATGTTAGCAGCTGAAGTCAGGTACCGAGGTATCCCGGTGAGCGGCTCATTTGCGTTTGGGGTCACTTGGCTGTGGGTGCTTAAGCGTTTAAGATTATGCTGTAGCCGGACAGGGGTGTGAAAACTGGAGCCGCACTTCGTACGACGCCTAAACCCTAAACCTTAAACCCTAAACCTTAAACCCTAAACCCTAAAACCTAAACCCTAAACCTTAAACCCTAAACCTTAAACCCTAAACCCTAAAACCTAAACCCTAAACCCTTGACCCAGGAAGGGCTTTGTGCGACTTGCTATGCCAAGGCGGGAAGATTGCGGGGTTCGGGTTTGTCGGGCTTGGCCTGCGTAAGTCTCGTGAGTGTGTTTGAGCCGGTGCTGCTTAGGGCAGATAAAGGTTTAGGGCTTGAGGTGTAGGCCCTAAACCCTAAACCGTAAACTTTAGGGTCTTCAGCTTCCGGAAAGAACCCAGACACCCTGCGCCCGAGCGTTTAAAGCCTTGAAGCCTCGAAACCGGAATCTCCCCAAACCCAAAAACCCAAAGTGCAACATCTTCAAGACCCCCTTTCCAGCGTCTAATGAATCCTAAAAAGTCCGACACCCATAAAAACCAGAAATTTGAACTTGCAATCCTCACAACAGAGCCCTGAAACCGTACTACCCTAAACCCTAAACTCATAGATTCTGTCCTCCAAAGCCCAACAACCCTAAAACCAAAAAAACCTGCCCAAAATTGCAAGCACCATCACCCTGAACCTTGAAGCTACCCTAAAGCCTAGGTTTTCGCCAGCCCTGAACCGAAAACTACCTTAAGCCCTAGCTGTCTGGCAGGCTCAGGTCTATTGCGCGAACTGCAAGCAGATCGGGCCTAAGGGCTTCGTGGGGTTTCGGAGAGTGTCGGAGAGTTTAATAATGGGGTTTAGGGTTTAGGGTTTAGGGGTTTAGGGGTTTAGGGATTTAGAGGTTTAAGGTTTAGGGTATAGGGTTTGGGGTTTAGGGTTTAGGGTGTAGAGCTTGCTGTAGATGTTCGAAGAGTTTGGACGAAGAGCCCTTCGAGTGTGAGCAGGTCTTACCGAGTGTTGGCGCTACGTCCAGAAAGCGACGAAGCCGAAGTAGGGTCTCGGGTTACAGGCTGCCGGTTAGGATACTGTTGGGGTTTCCCATGTAGATCTGTATCTGCTATAGAACAGGAAGGCAGAAAGGTAGGCAGTGCAACCTAGTCATCCAGTCCAAAGACCGGATAATCATACTAGTATCCGTGCAGTTTCGTATGCCACAATTAACATCAGTTCCTAGTATACGCCCATTTCTCGTATGCCGTAACACCCTATTCTAGCCGTTACGCCCAGACTCATCAACTCATCCCCTAAACCCTAAACCCTAAACCCTAAACCCTACTCATCTTGGCCCCAAGGAGATGGTACTGCTCGCGCAACTGCCAGGAGAAGGCGCGCGATGGGATGCGCAGGGCCATACATATATGTATATGTATTTGTACATGTATTTGTATATGTATTTGTGTATGTCTAAGTATATGTGCATGTATATATATATATATATATACTATATGTATGCGTAGAGAAGTATGCAGTTCAGGGTTTAGGGCTTTGGGTTTAGCTGGTTGAGGCCGCGATTGAGGGCGTTATGGGTCTAAGCTCTTCTCGGGATGCTTGAAGTCTAGCCAGCAACTGTGCGTCGTGGTTTAGGATGCTTCTTCATATTCTACAGGCCCTAAACCCTAGAGAGTGCAACGCCCTGGTGGCGTGTATTTCTCGGGAATTTAGGAGTTTTCGCTCGAGTTTTTACACTTAGATTTTCAGAAAACAACATAATACGGGCCTGCGTTTTGTGGGTTTCAGAAACATAGGCATGGACTTATGTGGCTTGGAGGCCCAGT